GCAAGATATCGTTGCTACTTCAGGAGTATGGCTATCAGCATACTGGCAACGAAATAATGTACAACGGCTTCACAGGCCGCAAACTCAATTCGCAAATTTTTCTCGGCCCCACTTACTATCAGCGACTCAAACACATGGTGGATGACAAGATACACAGCCGTGCACGAGGCCCTGTACAGATACTTAATCGTCAGCCAATGGAGGGCCGCAGTCGAGATGGAGGGCTACGGTTTGGTGAGATGGAACGTGATTGCCAGATTGCTCACGGGGCTGCCCAGTTCCTTCGGGAACGCCTCTTTTTTGCCAGCGATCCTTACCAAGTGCATGTATGCAATTTGTGTGGTTTAATTGCCATTGCACACCAGCGTAACAAGACTTATGAATGTCGCAGCTGCAAAAACACTACACAGGTTTGCTTCTCCACACTATTTTCTTCATATATAGGCCACTTTGGGACTTAGTGTATTTTCCGGCGTATAAGACGACTTTTCACACCATAAATTTATGCTCCTAAGTGGGGGGTCGTCTTATACGCCGATTTAGTTTAGGAATCACTAATTATACTATGATTCCGAGCTCCTGTTGTGCCCCTTACTTCCTTACAAAATCTATATTTTAACTGGAAAAGTCAGGGGGTCGTCTTATACGCCGGAAAATACGGTAAGTTGACATTCTACCACTTATTTCTGTCCTGAGATTATTAGGATCAATGGAAAATTTTTCTCAGTGTATATGTTTGTGAATAGTAAATTTTGACAAACCCTTTTACGACCTCCATTATCATGGTTTAAGCATGATTATATTATTATGTATGATGGGGAATCTAGTTGCTTTATCTATAAAGGCTATTTGGTGACTCATTTTTAGATTGGACTTAACTTAGATCTATTATTGGATCTATGAACCTTTATACAATACGTTCTCATCATTACTGCTGTGCTAATTTTACAGAACTCGGCATATTTTAGATTATTTGATGTGGTAAACTAACTAATCTTTCCAAAATTTGAGGTCGCCGGAACAATTGGAATTGAGGTTTAGCATTGCCTTGTTCTCTTGCTCATTGATTTATGCAACTATTTTTGGTTCTATTTCTTGGTTAGAACCTTATTTTCTGTAATTATTCAAAATGCATATTCAGACGCCGTATACATTATGGACTGGTGACTTGATCGTTAAATTTTCATTTTTTTTCAGATTTCTCTTGTCAAATTGCCTTACGCATGCAAGCTACTGTTTCAGGAGTTGATGGCTATGTCTATTGCCCCTCGAATGATGGTCGGCTCCAGCCCTGCATTTTGAATCATACAGCCGCTAGAGTGAAACCTTATCTTGTATTTTGTATATACTTGTAATTTTATAACTATAATAAAAGTTATTTTCGCTTTGTATTTGTGATGCTTTGAGAATTTCCCTTTATGAATAAGTGATTTCATGATGGTTGTGATTATCTTCTATGGTTTCTATCGCTCGTTTTATGCTATTTCATTGAGCCACCAATGCATTCTACTAAATTTCCACTGGCATGGTACTTAGATTGGAAGAACTAAGCATAAGAACTTCGAATCAATCATGTATTTTAGAGCAACATACTTATAATATTACGAAAATAAGTATGAATTTACTTTCAATAAATACGAAGTAAGCATGCCCAAAGCTCATTATCATCTTCAATTTATGAGTTTTATGAGTCTGAAGCTTCTTGTTTGTAAAT